ACCCAAAGTGGTGTCCATGCCGCTGTCAGTTTCTTTCTTTCTTTGTGGTCTAGGTTTTTATTAGAGGTGTTCCTGACCTCTTTGGAACTGGTCGAACCATCAGTTACATCAGTGCTTCCCAATTGAGTCACTGCTTTCTGTGGTTCTGTTGTTTCCAATGAAGTGCTGCCTGATTGAGTCACTTCCTTCACAAATTCTTTTTTAGTTACTGCGCTTTCCTCTTTTGAGTGCGCCGTAATCTTTTTATCTGGGATCTTTCTAACCCGTTCCCTATTCAGGTTCACATCTTTTTTAGTTTCTTTTTCTTTTGATCTTAGATCTGCTGCGTCTTTTGCTAATGCAATTTCATTTTCATGATTGGTACAACATGTGGTAGACGGCGAACAGGAGTCTTCGATTGATAAAGAAGAGAAACTATTATGGAAACTATTGTCTTTAGGCACAGCCGGTTGATGTGTTACCGCTGGCCTCTTCAAAAACCCTGAAGGATCTTTGCTCTTTCTTCCGCACTCATGTTTTGCAAGAACTCCCTAACATTGAATTGGGGTTTTGCGTGCGCCTCTTTTTTGCATTCAAAGGATCGGTGTCCTTTTTCTCCGCACCAGTAACAGAGCCCTTTCTGTCGGTACTCCGCTTTATCAACCTTCATCGGGTCACCGGCTTGGGTATAAAGGTACCCGCTACCGTCCTTCTTTCTTTCGACCTTTGGTTCGGTCTTTCCTCCTCCGTCTTGCTTCTTTTTCTCCGTGCTTCTGAAGCTCTCCTTTTCTGCCTCTCTGTGGCGCCACAAGTAGTCTATGCGGATCAGCTCCTTTTTCCACTCTTCGTAGTTGGCTGGCTCTCGGCCGCCGTATATCACCTGATTGACCAGGGGTTCGTTCATGTTTCTACGTAAAAGTGAAATGAGGAAGTCCTCATTGGCTGCTTGGAGGTAGTTAGCCTCTGTCCTCAGTTCTTCGAAATGTTCGAAGTGCTTCTCTGCCGTGTTCTTTCCTTGGCGCAAGATCATAATGTCATTGCGGGCGGCGAGTTGCTCGTGAACATTTTTGAACCGAGTCTCCATCTTGTGAGCGAACCACTCAAAACTTTCGTAAGTGGATTTCAGGTTTTCTCCTCGCATCCTCTTTTCTATCTTCGTCTCCATCCACTCTGTTCTGAAGGCAGCCGCTGCTCCTCCCGTCATAAAAGAAAGCACATAGGCGATCTTTCTTTTGTCATCCGCGAAATACTCCTCATCATCCTCGTAGTTTAGCATTAAGGCCTCGCGGAAAGCCTTGTACTCTTTTCTGTCTCCATCGAAGTTCTCAGGCTTCTGGAGTGCCGTTCTCGTTCTGTCTACGCGTTTCGGCTGCGTATTGGGTGGCGTGGGTGCGGATGCGGCGGGAGCGGACGTAGAAGAATTCGACGTAGCTAACCTCAGCTTGGCTAGCAATTCTTCTACTTCTTCTTTCGCCTCTTTGAGTTGTGTTTTGTAAAGGTCGTGGAGCCGTCTCTGCTCCTGTTCTATTCTGGCCCGAACGTACTGTTCCAGTCCAGCTTCCCTCGATGTTGGTGCTTGTGGTTCCAAGGGTGGGAGTGCACCTGACAATTCTCCCATTCCTATCTCTGGTGTGTCCGGCTCTTCGCGCGGACCTCGCCACTCTCCGAATGCTTCTGTCGTCATGATCTGGGTAGGGGGTGTGGTATCGGGTTCTGATTGGTTCTATTGCTGGGAATGTGAAGTAAATTTCCCAAGCTAATCTGTTCTCAGAGTGAAAGCGTTCTTCTGCTAGCCACTCTTCGAATTTCCCAGGTTGCATACAAAAGAGTTTCCCGATGATAAGTCGGATCAACACTTTCTAATGTAAGATCAACCGGTCTATCTGTTTCCTTCTTTAGTCAAGCGGTTCCTCTTCTGTCCCGCACTGACTATGTACGTAACTAATTCTACTCTGATATATCGGTGTTCTAAAGTATAGTAACTGGGGTCCAGACGGTTGTCCCAGTGATACCCAGCGAATAACCGCGTGCAGGTCTTTTCCAACTGGCGGACTCAAGTGAGCGGCCTGGTCAGAAGGGTAAAGAAGTTTTTCTAAACTAAGTAATACCTATTGGGCTCCACGCCGTCAAGGGTTCTAGCTAAAGGGTTGGAAGGGGGAGTGAGGGGGATATCGACAAACGACTCTGTGGGTGAGACGTTGGCAGGAAAAAATGAGATAATGGTAGATGGTCGGGTGATAGGTGTGATGATTGTTGGTTTAGTGATGTAGACGTAGAGTTTGGCAATGCCAAAGAGTATGATTGCGATGAGAGGGAATAGGGTGATGATTAGGATAGCTGTGCTTTTGCTCATCAACAGGTGTCGTTCAAAGTTGTAGATTATGTAAAGACCCTAGCTGTTATGCCGGTAACCCGAGCAGCGTAGGACTTAAATCACACAACAAGTGTCTGACAAGCAAGTATAAGAGTAAATCTACAACTGGGGTATGTACATGGATATCGTGCTAGTTATATAGAAGAAGGCATGAGGCTACGGTGAGGTATGACGTAGTGTATTGGTAAGTAACATGTGTAATGCGTGAGGCTGATTGGTAATGAGTATTACTAATGTGTCACGTGATTACTAGATAAGATAAGATCAAGGAGAGATTAGATAAGGTGAGATAATAGTCTCTATCTCGCGATTAGATAAAAAAGATGAGTCACATGGGTACGATCGTGACAGTAAGGCCATGGAACCGTCGGATTTGGGCTAGGTGGTGGACTGGTGGCTCCAGTTTTTTTTTTTTCCAGCAGAACATTCATTTGCAGTGCAATTATTTTTGATTTTTGAATCATTGTCATGGACACATATTTTTTAGAATGCCTGACCAACAATAAAGGAACTGTGTTGATACTGATATTTTTTTTGCCTTGCCCTTTTTTACTGCATCTTCCTATGACATCATGATTTTTCTTGCTCTCTTTTTGTTATTGGACTTTATTTTATGGCTGTACAAACCTGTGGCATTACTTACACAGCATTCATTGTTCTATCATTTTCTTTTCTTTATTTGGATGATCTTATCCTGTACTACCTACGCAGGATTTGTCAGCATACATTCCTTCCTTCATATTCTTTCTCATTCTTTTTGCATAGCTATACTGTGCATAGCCTACCTTTCTTTTACTATATAAACCCCTGTATTTTACCTTGTAAAAAAACAACAAGAACTCCAATCCAGACTTCTTCTCTAAATTTCAAGTTCACTACTCTGCTACTTGTGATCCAGTGTGGTCACAACACTTCCCACTGCTACCACTGTTAACTGCTGTCATTGTCACTCGTCACTTTTGAAAGTCACTGTCATCCCTTTCAATTAGAGTCCTTCTGAGCACTACAGTTTGTGCGTCAGGAGCCTGCTATCATTGGGAACCTCGTTATCTCGTCATTCTCAAACCTACCTTGTGCTACAATTAGTAAGGTAGTGCTCGTCCATACTCATCATAAGCCCCTATCTTCTATAATTCAACTATCCCTCCTCCTCAAAACCCACACTCATACATCTCTGGGTTTTACTTTGAAGGATCATTATATGTACCACCCCACAAACAACTAGACCACTCCACTGTTCTAGGAGGCAAAGCCCATACACAAGTTCCGTGGAATCTGGGAGGATTGTGTGTTAGTTTGTTTTTGTGTGTGGTTTTCTAACAACAGTTCTCATCATTGACACCGTGCTTGCACAAAACATATTCCACGGAAATACTGTATCATTTCATCCAAGATGACTTAGTATCAACGGGAGAGGCAGTAATCAGATATGTTCCTACAGGAGACATGGTTGCCAACATTCTCACTCTCACTCACAAAAAACACTGGAAATTCTCTAAAGCTATGGGACTACGGTTGCACTCAAGTGGGAGTGACAAAACCAGATAAACCCAGTCTCTGCTAAAGCAGCCATTGTCCTCCATGGAGTCACCATTGTTCTCCTAGGAGTCATTATACTGTAGCGAGTAGCACCTCCGACTATAAGTAGTAAGGGGTTTAGTATAGGAATACCTCAGTTGTTTCTATAGCCTCTTAGGCAGTGGCTGAGGTATGTTACATTACATTTATTAGAGATCACCTCTCTTAAAACAATCTAGTCAAAACAATATGCTCAGCTTTCGGGGGGAAAGACTAAGCTATATTCAGGTCCTACCTAGTCAAAACAATATGCTAGGTACAGAGGTAAGTAAAATGTTAAACTACATATATAGGCAGACATATACTCACCTCAGCTTTCGGGGGGAAAGACTGAGGTGGGTATGGTTGCTACGAAGGTTTATAAGTCGCAAGAAAAACAGAAGTAAAGATGTAAGTAATTTATTTTCATTAATACGCACGGGCCAGCTGAACTACAGCTCTTTCCTAATCTAGCGTCCACGCTGCGTCCTATCTTTGGGCTCGCTGTACAGTGCTTGCCCTCAGACTATATTTCCAACAACCTCAAACTAACATCTATTGTAGTTTCACTTAGGTAAATAATAAAGTTGTTTCTATAGCCTCTAAGGCAGTGGCTGAGTTTCACTTAGATTTATTACTATGCTCCATGGAGAACAATGGCTGCTTGAGCAGAGACCGGTTTTGTCACCTTGTTGTACGTGGCCCTCTGATTGCCAACAACAATCCAGTACAGGGTGGGAACGAGCCTACTAAATTACTATCCAGGAAAAAGCGGGTCCAGGACTGCCCAGAGGGCAATTTCTTCTTATGTAAGCTATTGGAGACTATTTCTACCCGTTATCTCTTGTACAATCACAGAATGTTCTCTTCGCTTAGTGCTTATCTACTTCCTATTTCTGCTTTTACTTCTGATTTAACCCATCCGGCATACCATCATTGCAGTTCCTTATCGCAAAGCTCTATTAAGATGATGGACACTCACGATTAACTGGCCATGTGCATTATTTTCTCCCACAGACAAACTGAGAGCCCAAATAATATAGTGGTCGAGTGAACTGACAAATAGCTCAACTGCGACTTGTTTCTTTGCAACATCTTTCATTATGAAGGCGATCACTGTGACTGGCGTGATTTTTGCCTTTGGATTTCCGAGTCTCCCATCTTCTACTGGTCATGAACAGATACCACTCAAAACACAGGATGGCGGCGAAACATGGCTTTCGAAGTATGGAAAACAGATTGATCAGCCTTTCTCTGGTCCATTAGCTTTCTCTCACTTACCATACACACGCTGTTTGGAGGATGAGTCCGCTGCATTTGATATCGCACTTCTCGGAATGCCCTTCGATACTGGGACCTCTTATCGCCCGGGTGCTCGTTTTGGACCTTATGCTATCCGCTCAGGAAGCAGAAGGCAAAGAGGTTCTCGAGGGTATACGCTAGCCTGGGGAAACAACCCTTACGAGCTAGGCTCTGAAATATTAGATTGTGGTGATGTATGATAATTATTGGTGTGCGTCCAAGTGGCAACATTTATACTAATTTCTGTCCTCAGGTACCTGTCATGCCCTTTGACAATGCGCTAGCGATCGACCAGATGGAAGTTGCGTACTCCACACTATTAGCGAGGACTATAGCTTCTAGTTCCACATCTTGGCCTCAAGGCGCAGTTATCGCGAATGATGAACGTGAACATCCAAGGATTATCACGTAGGGCTTCATCATTTGTATCGTAACCTATATTCTGATGTACGTGCATGCAGTTTGGGCGGGGATCACACTATTGTACTTCCCATACTCCGTTCCTTGAATAAGGTGTATGGTCCTGTATCTGTCATACACTTTGATGCACATTTGGATACGTGGGCAAGCTATCCTGGTTCAATGACTGAGCAGTCACGAATCACTCATGGGACATTTTTCTACATTGCTCAAGAGGAAGGTCTGATCGCGAATTCAAGTATACATGCTGGCATCAGATGTAAATTACAAGTACTCCCGTCTGTTTTTCTCCCAACACCTCAAATTGACAATTCTTATTTCAATAGGGCCTTGGCGATATCGAGAATGATAGTGCAGTCGGATTTCAGGTTATCACCACCGACGATATCGATGATCATGGAATTCCAGCGATAATTGAACAAATCAGACGGCGGGTTGGATCTTCTCCTGTTTACCTTAGGTATGTCATATTATATGCCGTATGCTAACGGTATCTGAAAGGTCCATGTAGCCTTGATATAGATGTCATTGGTTAGTTTTCAATTTTCTTCCACTATTTACTGCCGCTTGAATGTATGTCTAGATCCTGGTTTAGCCCCAGCAAGTAGGTCTCGTGTTCTTTGATGGTGCCATATATTGACTTTCGTTCACAGCAGGAACCCCCGAAGCTGGTGGCTGGACAAGCAGAGAAGTGAAGAGAATAATTCGTGGTCTGGCGGGCTTGAATTTTGTGTAAGTCAGATTGGAACAAAATGTAAATTGCGGAGACTGAGGCTTCCATTCACCAGCGGTGCAGACGTCGTTGAAGTCGCGCCCGCTTATGATCATGGTGATTAAATACATTATCAAGAATGGATTCAGGCTTACTTTCCCCTGCAGCCGAAATCACAGGCATCGCGGCTGCAGATATCGTACACGATTTCCTGTCGATGTTCTTGTCTCACGAACCTCCTACATCACCCGCATACCCCGGTCGAATGCCTAAAGATGAACTGTGATCTTTTTGACCGTTCAGACCTCAGGTTAACTTCGGACAAAATATATAGTATATACCATGCTTTCGCGATGTTATGCCATTCCCAATGTTGACAATCAAACAAAACTTTTGCAAGTCTTTAATTCTTGCACCGCTAGGAAGAAGGCACAGTGAGTATGGAAAACTATCAGTGATTCTTCCCCCCACACATATGAGTCATAACGGATTGAGTTAAGAGGAGGCGTAAATTCATCTCATAAGTGTATGAAACAACGTCCGTGAACGATATAGGCCAGAGGGAAGTGTATCGATAAAAAAGAAGATTGCACGATAAATAACATTGCTCCAGTAGCTTAACTCTTTGATCTCCGTTGCTCTGGTGGCTGTGAAGGACCAATTTCGTATCTGGAAGGACTCTCGCTGAAGAGTTGCTACACTGGTGACCCGATAGCGATATGGGGGACCCAGGGCCTTAAACTGGGCTTATGTTTTGAGCCCCAGATACGAATTTCGTGAGAATAAATGAAGGTCCATGAGAGCTAGGGAAGTATGATGATTGCTGTGCTACGAGAGGGCTAGAAATAGCAGGGACAGCGCTGTGACCGTACCCACCACCTCTCTTGAAGCTTGAAGTACGGGAAGAAGCGTTTATCGAGCGAACCCTTTTTTTTTTGTAATAAACCTTACAAAGTAGTGCGTATATCAGCAAACAACCCGGCACACGGAGAATGAAGCACAATTTGTAGCAAGGAGTTAATGACAACTAGGATCGCCAGAATTGCGCGGTAGTCGTGATTGTTTTGTGCGGACTGATTCCATATCATTATCATTGCTGTGCAGCGTGCTAGGCCAACGAGGATCACGCCTGTGCCGTATGTCAGAAGATCGAGGGGCGTCGTTCATGCCAGGCCAAGCATGAGGAGTAGGCCAACTATCCAGTTGAGGGACATAGTGAGCGCTATATGAATCAAGATACGTCGAGAGAGGAAGACAGCTCCTATTGTTTCATATTTGAGCTTGGTCAGGATTGGCCACATGATGACAATGAGGCCAATGGCGACCGCTGTTTAGACATGTACCATGTTAATCTCAATAGCACAAGGTATAAGAAATAGACATACGAATGGAGACGCTCTGCAAGCACGCAGTGTCAAAGCTTTTTGAATTCCTGGGGCTAACTCGCCGAAGACTACACCGATGACCATGCACAGAAGTGGTAGTTATTTGTAGGCGGTCTAAAATTCCAAGTCGTCGAAACAGCATATTTTGTCATTTAGCGATTGATGTGATGAAAATCTGAATAGATGTACATTGAGAGGTCGTCTCAGGCTCAGCTACAGGATAAGTGTCAAAAGCTCTGGAAGAGACCGTTGCAACAGCTTGAGGAGTGTTCAACGAAAGTTCGTCTGCAGACTGCTCTAAGGACATGACAAGATAAAAATTGGGAGATGATGCGGTGCTTCGTAAGAAGCATGGTATTGGTATGTTCGCTTGAATAGCAACGAAATCATATCGGTTTTCATTATCGCAGACGAACTAGGAAATTAGGAAATCGTTAGTCAAATTCGAAGTCGCGTAGCGTGTCCCGTACCCCGGCTGTTTGCACGCCATCGAAGGAGATGTTCTAATTGGACAATGTAGTATTCGACACTAATGATCAACCAAGCCATCCATGGTGAAGGAGGCTCCTCGATGACGTCCATGAGAGTCCCGCTGGTCAACCCGGAATGGAGACAGCTCAAGCCAACGATGAGCAGTTGGGCCAACATTTGCACAACCTCAGCGAGGGACTGATCTAAGACATGAAAGGAAAGGATGGTTTATCGTCGTGAAACTAGAGGCCTATGTTCGGTGATCGCGGTTCGAATCTTGGGATCGAAAGATGCAGCGCCGAGAATAATATGTTGTTACGGTATGACTAGCATATACACTCCAAAGAGCCATTTCCACCATGATGCTCTGTCATCTCACTACAGCAGGAAAACGAAAGATGGATAGTAGATGTTCTTTACAACATCCCAACTGTGATACAGATATGCTACACGGGATTCAAAACATAACGATGGAGAGAATGTTACTCGCGTGGCGAAATTTGGTCATAGCGTTAAGGAACCAAGGAGTGTCGCATGAAAGGCAGGCTGATGTAGCGTGGGCTATAGATTTTGTATTTCAAAAGGGTGGCGGACAAGTTCATCGTACAGATCAGCTGGGAGGTCACGAACAAGAGTCACAGCTATTCCAATGACAGGAAGAGCCTCGAGGGGAGGGAAAGTGCGGAGAATGCGCATCGGACTACAATCCATATCATAAGCCGAACTATCCATCTAGAAAGTGCTCAGTGGAATCATACCTCAAGGAATTCATAACTTCATCTCTCATAAGCAAAAGCTGTGCAATCACACATAAAACATTCAAATGTACGCCAAACGCAAGGAGGAAGTCCCATAGCTGGAGGACTTGATCAAGGGGTGGGGTGCACGCGCACAACGTCAGCACGGCTACAAAAATACACAGGTTATCTGATGCACTAAAAAAAGGACGTCCAACGCACATGGGAAAGCATAAATTTCTGCCGATAGATTCTTTGATCTCAGGTGCGCGAAAAGCTCAGGATCTACGATCTTCAGGCATCGATCTAAGAGCTACCACATAGTCAGACAACGCGGTAAAGAGCTTCAAGGGAATACTTACCTTGAGCCCTCGGTGTACACCTTCTAAAGTAGGCTGAACGTATAGTGGACATGATTCTTCGATGAACTTCGCAAAACAAAAAAATGCCTCGAGTTCCGAGGGCATGGTATACAGGAAAGGTGCGGCAAGAACGTTCATGCCCTGAACATATGTGAATCCAAGTTGATGAGTCTCTTGACGATCTTTGGAATGGTGGGAGCCTGAGATACACGATGCAGGGGAACACGGAAAGCACGTACCATGATTCCGCCACACAAACGCATCGAGGAGACGAACGAGCATGTCTTCACGAACTCGTTCTTTGAACCCACGATCAGTAGCTAAAGTTCTGATAATACTATAAGCATAGTAATTCTGTAGTGTGGGTGCTGAATGCAGACCTGAACGTGTCATTTCTTATTTTTTCTCGGACCTCACATGGGCCTCGTGAAACATATTGTAGAAACGTTTCTGCAGACAAGCTATCAACACGAAGGAGAATTTTCCATATCCGAGGGCGTAGTGTAGGATCCTGGTGACATGAGAGTTGCTTTCAGTTCCCTAATTACATGCGGCGAAAGTAGTAGTACAACACACGGCAGCAGATGGGATACCCTCGACCAAAATCATCCGTCGCAGCTTCTTGACACCGTCTTCAACATCTGGGGATCGCTTTGACTTGGTAGTTTTTGGCTGGTTTAGGATTTTATTGAAAGAATGTGCGGTCGCTGCTGCAGACGGCGAGGAAGACATGATAGAAAACACAGCCACCAGTTGTTTGTTCTGTGTTTACATGGTGACTTTTGGGTTGCGCAGGTGATCTTGTCGTGTTCCCATCCAAGTCTCTGTAACCTATCGCACGTGTATCTGCAAGATAGCCCACTGCACGGCCAATCTTTCATTATGGAGGTCCCGTTCATATCTTCTGGGGCTATGAGTCGAACACATTATTCTGTAGTGCGAAAAGTAGAGAACGCACCTTCTGCTCAAGCCGCAGACCAACTTCTTCTACGCGAGATTGAGTCCGTTCGTCGCCGACTTGCAGACCCGAGACTTCACGTCGTGCGTACTGCTTGGGGGTATAAATCCATAACTCAGTGGAGAAATTTTGTAGAAGGAATGCCAGGAATGCTTGATATTGCTCCTATATTGTTCGATGGCTTTGGTTGTTGCATCCCCCGGTGATCTGGACTTCGCACTACCCCACGCAGTCAATCTCGCAGAAACTGGCCAGTCAACACAATCGAAGAGAATTGGTACGCTTCGTTTTGCACTCTTCCTTAGCCTTTTCTAAAGTAATAAATAAAAGGCTATCTATTCTGTGCTGAGGTTATGTCCCCCAGTCACGAACTACAGTTGATGCTAATCAACACGCTACGAAAGGTTAGCTGCTTTTTTTTTACCTGTCATTCTGCTTGTACTTAATGGTGAAAGAAAGGATCTGGAGAGTTCGCATATACCACGTATTTGTCTCGCTCTTGATGCTCTCATACAGTCTTCCACCGAAGACGTGATACCTGCAGTTCAGTCGCGTCTACATGATCTCCTCTCGCATAGCTCGTTAGTATGTATTCTCATCTATCTCGAGTTCACCTTACAACTTGAAGTCATCAACTGTAGGCCTCATGTGCGTCGTCGCGCCCTCCTGGTTTTTCGTGTCCTGTCACGCTATGACGCGGAAATTCTGGCACGAATAGAGGGAAAGGTCATCAAACGTATAAAAGATTCTGACTTCTCAGTTTCTCATGCTGCTCTCATAGTTTCTACTCATGTAAGCTTTACCGTCTTTTCATCTATGCTTGTCGCTCAAAATATGCAGTTTAAAAGAAGTGATAAGGTACATGCTGCTATCAGCGATATGCTGGCGTCTGCCTGGACCGCGGGTGAGCACAAGTCAAAAAGAAGAATGTTGTTAGCGCTTCTCGAGGCTTTCCGAGTAACTAGGTTAGTCTACGGCAAATCATTTTCTCTGCTATAAACCCTGACTTCACTACCACAAAGGCCATCTCCGGACAGCATCCATACAACTTTTGAGATTATACGTTATGCTTCCGAATATGCTAAAGCTCGTAAGTTTGGAATCAGCTTTTCGGGTTTCTGGCTTATATTACTTACAGCATTGCTACGCGAGGCATTCCTTGTACTGTCATCTATTCCATGTGAATCGATATCAAGTGCTCAAACGAAGCTTGCCTTATCACCTGTCGATAGCATTCGTTATCTATTAGCCTCTACCGACCCAAACCAGCAATACCTATTTATTACTTGTTTGGGATGTCTTGATCAGACGCTATGGGCAGGGACCCTTCCGGACACCGTGGCCATCCTGGACGAATGGGAGGCTGAACGTGTCATGAAGTTACTTGATTCGAGTGACAGCTTGATCCGAAAGAATGCGAGTATCCTCAGGAAATTTTCGATCTGTGGTGTGGCTAATCATGAACGTTTCAGACATTGACAACACTCCATGGTATTGATCCTGCCATTGTCGGATCCTTTTATTCGCAGCTTCTTCAACGCATGCCTTCTGCACTATCGATCAGGGATAGGGACGAATACGTTTCTCGTCTATTGGAAATCGGTGAAATACAATGCGGAGGCGATGGCGAGCTTTATGCGGTCCAGTTGAGGGAGCTCTTGGCAGATGTCGATACGAAAGCCGAAAGCCTCCCGGAAGGCCAGCCTATCATCGAAAGTGCCGTCGAAAGGATACTAGTGCACGTTCGAAGCAGTGCGTAACACTCCTTATTCAAACTGGTAGTGGTACTCATTAATGTGATACAGTGGACATATCTGGTCGTATAGGTTGTGTTACGACATTAATTTCGCCTATTGTTGAGAGTGAAAGCCGTATTGGCTCCACACTTATGGTCATCATATCTGCACTGGTATGTGAATATGCCGGAAAAACATCCATTTCGCCTGTAGCTATCCTACGAGGAATATCGAGCAGATTGTCGCTGTATGCTGGTTCGTGACTAATTTGTTACTTCAAGCCTATTTCTAATGCACAATGAATAGCTGCAGTACAAGATGCTTGTTTGCTATCAATGCTGCGTCTCTGTGCAGAATGCTCTCAGGTACCTGATGATGTTATAGTGTCTACAAAGGATATATTACAGCTTTCTAGGAGGCATATAACGCGGGTATGCATTCGGTTTATGGTATCATTAGTTTTTTTTAGTACCTTACATGACCTTTTTAGCGCTGTGAACAGTTTCTAAACTTGTCAAGTCAACGACATGTCCTTACGGAAATCATCTCGAAAGCACATTCATCCTCGGTGAGTCCGAGTTGTCTTTAGGGTGCCTTTCCGAGCTTGACGCAAATGCAGCTTCCAGATTTCGTGGCTTCACTCTCTGAATATCAAAGTACGGATAGTCATCCCGAGATTGGTCGAGTGGTAAAGCCTACTCCGTCGGGTTTATCCTCTTTAAGGAGTACTGGCGCATCGAGCAAACTTCGTTATACCGCCTATGAGACACCACAACCAACACCCAGTCTGCGGCACCTGACCAGTCCTCGGATCGCTCCTACAAGTCCACATACAGTCACCCATTCTGATCTTCAAGGTAGGCACCGAAGCTTGTCTCAGGCTAGCGATGTCTCTTCTTCATTCGGACCATTGGCGAGAACGATGACACCGGGCGAGCTGACACTTGCCACGAGCGATAACGGCTTGGATCGATTAACCCAAACGGGGGATACACGGAGACCGTCACCCGGTACGATCACGCGCCAGAGCGGTAGCGATGTGAATATGGAAATTAGTTCAGCGCTCGATGACTTGGTAAGCACGGACGAGCCCTGACCCAGGAAAAAGTGCTGATGAATAGATCAGGCATCCGGAGTTAATCTGATATCGCTCGAAGCTCCCTTCATTTCCGAGCTGATGGTGTCGACCGAACCAGATTTCCAAGGTTGCTGGGAAGGTATGGGAGATCATAGCGGCCGTGGGTGGTGTGAAGCATCAATGGACACTATCGTAAGGCGACTGCAGCAATTGCAACACCGACTTAAAGTCATCGCTATCGACCAGCCACCCTATGAAGGTTCTTCTATTTGTTTCCGCTTGATTATCAGATTCAGTAACGTGTGCTTCCTCTTGGCAGGTGACTTGAAGGTCCTTGTTCAGGCAGCGAGTCAGGTGGACTCGTATCGATGTGCGGCTCTGCGTTTGAGAGAAAGTGACGACGAAAGTTGTTTATGGAGGATGCGGTGCGAAGACGACGAGCTGAGGACGAGTATAAAGAGACTTTTAGATGAGATCTAGGCGGGTAGAAACGAAACACAAAGGGTGATGGGTTTGTCTGGTACCATGATGCGAACATGTTATGACAGATGAATCTGTAGTGCGAAGATGCGAAGAAAGAAATGTGTCGGTGATTCACTGGACGTGGGATGATCACGTATATAAGTGAATCGACGACCGGCAAACAGTGTTCTTTGGCACTGCCAAGCGTACGGCGGCTCCCAGCACCGCACCGAACGGACAGGTAAAAGAAACAAGGTGTCATAGCAGCCGTGGGAAAGTGACTAGCACATATAACCGCTGCGTCCTGAAATTTTCGACCAAGGAGCTTTCCTCTTTCCTCGCACGACGACCATCTCCAAGCTTGCCTTCCCTAACAATCTATGAATTTGTTTTCAACACTGCCGTATGTGCTTTTATCTCTCCACAAAATGCGTGATGTTGACTTTTCATTAATTCCAGCACCCCATACCAGATTAAGATCATTCACTTCGGTCCTCTTGCAACTCTCCTCGTTGACACAGACCGCCCTCCTTAGGGCCCATTTGCGTTCTACACTTTCAACGCTGCTTCTCCATCATCTTACTTTCGCCGGCTAATGGGATAAATTCGCTCCACTGTCATCGGAACCAGGTTGCCTGCTCCGAAAATCGCATACTAGACTCCTAGAAGAAACAATCACAAGAGACAACCCGGAACTTCTTTCCAGTTGCTTTTTAACATTCTCTTATACCCTCAACACTCTGGACATGATGCATGCACTCAAGCACCCATCTTTTTTTCGTCCAGCAAGTCGCCCTACGTCGCCTTCCCCCACTCCTTCTCGCCCCGATTCGGGGTTAGGTTTCGACAGAGTATCGAGGCCTCTCAACAAACTCTCGCTCAGTTCATTCAGACGTCCTTCTCCTTCTGTGACCCCTGCTCCCGCTCCTGCGCCTGCACTGCTTGTTCAGGATGGTTCCTACCTCGAGGCACTCAGCCTTAAACTGAGTGAGGCGGTTTCCAAGGCTCTAGCTCAACCAACCGGGCCAGCTGGTGCGAATGAACAAGTCGGTGGCAAACGTCCTATCCCATCAGGTCGTGGGCAATCTCTTGGCACTTTAATTGCATCGTAAGAGTCATCATCCTTGTTCTTTTCATAGCAGATATTGAATCCTCGTTTCCAGTGAGCTGCAAGCTGCGCGAGGCAACCATCATTTGCACAAGGCGATATTACGTTCTTTGCACCGCCCGCTGTCGGTCTTGCTGAGTAATCTATCTGCATATCTTCTTCCTCTCCTTACTTCACCAGCATTCCTTGTACCTCCTGCACCCAGTGTCCAGATACCGAACCCCAATCCTACTCAGCTTCATGCTTTGGCACTGGCCGTGTTTTCTGGGGAGCTCCTCACAAGCTTCGATGAAATGGGGTTGGGCCTCGACTCGGACGTGAGGGGTGACGGATTAAGGGCAATTCGGGAAGGGCTTGCCTCCGTTATCACTCGAGTGGTCAACCCCCTGATCGTGGGGATCAAGACTGAACTCATGCCGATAATAGATGCACTGGAATCTCCTGTCAGTACTACGGTACAGAAGGCATCTCTCATTGGCAAGTCTGGACCGGTGCTTCATCCTTCTATAGTCACCTTGCAAAGTTTAATGCCGGTTTACTCCCGTGCATTGGCGAGGTACACTACAGCACTTCCTTCTCAGGCTAGTCTCGCCACCTTCTTGATATCTATTGTTTGGCGAGCATTAGTCGCCCTTTCACACCGTCCCACTGTGTCCCCTTCACCACCAGCTTCTCCTATCGGATCTCCGGCTATTGCACCAGTAACATTAAAGAAGCGCACATTGTCATCGGGGACGACTCCTCCTCTCACGCCCAATTCCGCTCGTTTTACTATGAAGCTGCCGCCTTCTCGTCCTCCTTCCCCGCCTACGGTGACGGTCACTTCCACACCAGCTGCAGATGCTCGCGCTCTTTATGACCTACTCAACCTTTTACCACGGCCACCCGCGGACACAGAATCTACCCGGGTGGCTCGGGAGGCTGTGGATGAAGCGTTTGATGATTTAAAAGCACTTGTTGCACTGTTAGAGAGCGTCGACAACCCGTTCTTCAAGTTGAACAAAACAGAAGAAGAATTGTACAACGAGGTTGATGACCTAACTGAAGATCTGCCCACGCTCATTGCACTTCCTGTGATGCTTCGTGGGCAAATTTTCGGGCCAGGCACTGGAGCTTCGACGGGGCCTTCTATTTCTTTGATGCTCAAGATTACTGAAGACGATTATAGAAAAGGATGCCTGACGGGCTTTGGTCGGGCAGAAGAGTGCGCGATCATTGTTGGAAACCGTATCCTCAATGTCCTACAATCGAACAGTGATGTCCATCACTGTGTTACGAAATGGTTGGAATCACGCATTGCAGCTTTTGACCATTGACTACATGGCCTTCTGAATGCTGCAGGTAAATATGTGGTAATATTATCCTTAGACCGAAATTTTGTTAGTCACTGTACATACTTAGGAGTGTTCAACTTTGTGTTGGGACTTGGTTTTGATTCTTATTATTATGCGTCTGGTGCCCTTTTCTTGCGACTAGTAGAGGCTTGAGTAGAGGTCTTTTCTTTCTTGACATGATATAACAGCAGTTATTCGAAACTTGATAGTCAGTTGAGATGAGAATGAATAGTGAGTAGAAAGCTTCACCTCATGAGACTCGTGCTCGCAGAGTTGTGGCACAGCACTGTATTGTATTCCTGGACCCGTAGGATCCAGGTTTATATTTCGCAATTGAAGTTTTTTTCTTTCAAGGAGGCTTTATATCCTTTTGTATTTCCATCAAAATTACAGGCTGTGCTTTTTCTTTCTCCGCTTTATCTTGTCTTCATCGTTGTCTCCCTCTGCACCATTACCTCTTGTCATGGGGCAACCAACAGTCCTACCCTGCTCCCGATGCCGACACATCTTCTTTGTCGATTTCTGTTGGACATATTGCCAGGCAACAAATACGAAGCTATATAACAAAAACAAATGTCTGGTCAAGTCCCTGAAGAGGGCGGTGAATCAGAGTACTGAGGTTGAAGAGTATCGGTATAAGTGTGAATCCAAACTAATATTGAACTAAGGAATAATACATTGAGTATGTACTTCCTTATATAGTGAACAGCGATGGTCAGACCAAAAAGGGGAAGAGTTAAGAAAGTGGTCTGACCAGCCAACTAACCAATAAGAAAAGAAAGCAAAAGTGGTCCGATCTATCATATTTACTAATCGTGTGAGAAAGAGTATTGGTAAGAGGTGGATGATCGGCTGTATCAGTAAGCCCATGAGAAGGCGCTGATTCATAGCCTACCTCGCTTATCTATATTCCTCCAAAGTATTCCCAGACATAGCATTGAATCATTGCTATGTCATCTGGATATCTTCTCGAGGATCTACAACAGTTCTCCTTTGTTGTAAATACGATAGGATGTGAGTATGAATGGAAAATAAAAAGAAAAAGGATAAGAGTACTAGAATGCCAACCGTGATCTCTAGTCCAAGAGTGAGAGGAGTGACCGGGAATGAATTGGATAACCACAACATGATGGGAATGCCATAAGAAAAATTGATTCCTCACATTAGCTCCCCTTTTATAAGACTCGTGTCCTCATGAGTCCGGAAGCGGCACTCTGGAACTTGTTGGTAATCCAATCGAAAAGCATTGGAGATTTAGAAGTCGCTGTGTAATTTTTGTAAGGACAGAAGTGAAGAGAAGCGGTGATGATGCGAGGGGCGGCGGGATGCGTTTTGTGGAAAGTTGCGAGTAAATCGGAGACGTGTGTAAGGTTGGTGTCAGGTTCCCAAGTACGCTCTGAGACTGGATAGCCATGCCAGTGGACCAAGTAGTCGAACTTAGTGCCTCTTAGTTTGGTTGGTCTAGATGCAACTATACTCTCTACTTTGTATTTGTCTACGCCTTCAATGATCTTGGGTGGTGGTTGCGAGGAGATAGGTTGGTTAGGGAATTTGGGAGCGTGGTATGGAGACAGAATAGCTTTGTTGAACACTGGGTGAATGGATTTCCAGCTTTTTGGGATGTCGAGTTGGTAAGCAGAAGGTCCAACCTTTTGGGTGACTTTAAAAGGACCAAAATGTTTGTCGTCTGATTTCTTCATCGGTCTGTCTGTCATGATGTTGTGTCCTTCTAACCAGACTTTGTCGCCAGTTTGATATTCTCGGGGTGGAGATCTCTTACGGTCATAATAGCATAATATCATTTGAGATTGTCATTTACTAAAAGAAGGGAAGATTTTGTGAGTTCATGGAGTTGTTTCATCTGTTCCCCAAACTCGGCCGCTGATGTGGATCAAGGGGATGACGCAATGGTGGTGTTTGTTCGTGGGTGTAGACCATAGTTTAAAAAGAAAGGTGATTGATTTGTCGCAGTGTGGAGATGATTGTTGTATGTGAATTCGGTGATAGAAAGCCAATCTGCCCAATCGTCCTGTCTGTGATTTACAAAAACACACAGGTAATACTCAAGATCCTGATTGATCCATTCAGATTGCCCGTCCATTTGAGGGTGATAACCTGTAGAAAGGCCTGGTGTTATCCCCATCAAATCATAAAAGTCTTTAGTGAACCGTGACATAAATTGAGGACCTCAATCAGAGATAATCTTCTTGGGGATTCCGTGGAGTTGTATCACATTGTCTCTGAGTTGATGGGTGTAACCGGCAGAGTTGAGGATGACAAAAGCAGGGACAAAATGGGCCGTCTTACTAAATTGGTCTACAAAGACCTGAACAGCGGTGTAGCCTTTAGACTCCGGTAGAGCGCCTATGAGGTCGGTGGTGATAACTTGCCAGGGTTGATCGGGTATTGGGCTCGGATGAAGAGGGGTGTTAGACTTTGTCCAATGTGCCTTGGTTTGTTAACAACTCTCGCACCCTCGTACATATCGTCTGATATCTGTGCAAAGACTTGGCCACCAGAGTTCTTGGTTCACTTGTTCAAACATTGTTCTCTCTCCTGGGTGTCCAGCAAGAGCTTTGTCGTGATAATCCTTCAATATTCGCACACGTAGTTCATGGTTCCGAGGGACATAGATGCGGTCAGCTAATGAGATCGGGTAGGAACTCATTGTGGACTCTCTTTTGATCCAGATGATATGATCCTATCCTTCACCTTCCAGGTGTCCAACTTCTCTTTCTGATTCTTCCTTACTACGTCGTCTTGTTTCTGGAAGTTTCTGCGTATATCTAGTAGGTATCCTTTGTTGGTGTCAAGTACTTCAAAATGTACGTCCGGGAGGAGTGTTTGGTTTTCGTTATCATTTGTGCCTCTAGGGTGGTTGATTTGTCTGCTTAACAGGTCAGCCTTAGTGTTTTGATCCCTATTGACGTGTTCCATCTTGAAATTATAATTTGCAAGCTGAGAGGACCATCGAGCTTAACGTCGGTTGTATTTCTGAGGTTGGCGGAAGTAAAGGAGGTTCTGGTGATCCGTGAAGATAGTGAAGGGGTGTTTTGATCCCACAAGGTGATGTCGCCATTCATCTAGTGCAGTCATGACTGCAAGCATCTCTTTATTGTAGATTTCATAATTGTGTTCGGCGGGGGTAAGGGCTTTTGAAAGGAATGTGTGAGGAATCGATTTTTCTTATCGCATTCCCGTCATGTCGTGGTTAACAGACTCAATCCCCGTCACTCCTCTTGCCCTTGGACTGGAGATTACAGCAGGTGTCTTATTACTTTTATCATTTTTCTTCTTATTCTCTCTTCACACTCACGTTCTATCGTACCTACAACGAGGTAGACTCGTTGTCGACCCTCGAGAAGATATCCAGATGACATAGTCACGATCCAGTGCTATGTCTGGGAATACTTCGGAGGAATATTGATAAGCGAAGAAGGTTGTGAGTCAGCGCCTTCTCATGGGCTTACTGATACAGCCAATCGTACATCCCTTACCAATACGCTTTCTCGTACGATTAGTAAAGACGATAGATCGGACCACTTTCTTCCTTTTTCTTATTGGTTAGCTAGCTGGTCAGACCACTTTCTCAGTACTTCCCTTTCTCGGTCTGACCATCGTCGTTCACTATATAGAGAAGTACATACTTGATGTATTGTTCTCCAGTTCAATATTAGTTTGGATTTGCGCTCTTACCGATACTCTTCATTCTCATACTCTGATTCACCGCCTTCAAGAAAGGACTTGACCAGACATTGGGCTTTGTTATATAGCTTCGTATTTGTTGCCTGACAAAATATTGAACTCACCTACCTCGAATCCTTTTCCAGAGCCCCTCTTTGGAAAACCGTTTCCCTACACCCTGAAAAAGACTGTCGTTGCCACTGCACCGGTCTAAACCTTCATCATCACCTTCTCCACCTCTCTACCATCCCTATCCCTCTCCTCACTATCGTCATCAACCTCTCACTATCCACCCCATTACACCTATTGTCGTTCAGTCTTCTCAAACTGGACGCCTTCTCTACCATCACCGCTCTCGTCCAATTCTTTGCGTTCTTTGCCATCATCAGATACCTACAAACCGGACTCGTCAGCGACGTCGTCTACCTCCATCGTGTCTACCTCCCAACAGCTCTCAGAAGAGTGGGTATCAGAAGCGGACCGCAGACACCAGAGAGATTTCCTCGCAACTCTCAACAAACAGCTCCCGGTCCTCCCCGTCCCTACCGAAGCCCATACTCCAGACGTGGAAGGAACGGTCGAACAGATCACTGAGTTGTATCAAGACTCCTCTGCTTCGTCTTCACCAATTGATCCGATCGAGGATATTATCCTCGACATAAACGACGCACTCGCTCTCACCCAATCCATTTTTTACCATTCCGCCATCTGTAGGAGAAATTCTCGCAGTCTCGAGGAGATACTCCAACATCTCCGACAGAGCACGGAGAGAACTTTTAATCTTCATATCCCTGCGGCACGAACAAATTCCGTTGATAGACTACTTCGAAAGCCTAGTACGCCCGAGTTACGAGAACACTCAGAGGGTTAAGCTTTTGAAAGGAATAGCCAACGTACAAGAACGAAACCTGCAACTTATTTCGCAGAGCCACGTCCCAGATCTTCTCGATCTTTATCGAATCCGCCCTCTCATTTTTCCAGACATACCCAGCCGCCTCCTCCCTTACGACTTCGAACACACCTTGCTTTGTGGCATTGTGTTAAGGAAGAGGCCTAACGAGGAACCTACCTATGATATCCCGTCCTCATTTTTTACATCTGACTACTACGACACCTACTCCGCCTCTCCTGTCAGTTACCAACCCATCCAGTACTTCTGCATCGGCAATCATCTGGACCACCTTTCTATTGTCCAATATCTGACACGACTTCGCCGAACTCTCTACCTCCCTGAAGTCCACGATCTTGACGCATTCGGGCCGCGGTTTGGTCTTCAACACAGCACTTCCATTATCATTGTCACGCCCTCTACTAAAGATCATATTCGACGAGTTGTTGCTGCGTTAGCACGATTTGATCAGCTCATCGCAACTGCTCAGAGGAAATCCCGTGACGGAGAAGACTACACGACCGAAATCGACAACATTCGACACGTTTCAGAATACGTCGACGAATATTACTGGATCCTGGAAATCCTCACTCCATTCGTTGTTAACCAACAATCTGATCACCCCGAACGT